CTTCTTTGGCAATTATATCACGGATGGATCGTGCCCGCTCAGTGACAGCTTTCTTGATTTTTGCAGCATTGACGGTAATCTGATTTGATTCAGGACCTGGCGGTATCATCTTAATAATGTTCTTGAATGCTATATCATCCATCAGAGTAAAGGGTCGTCCGTGCACAGTGACAAGATTCACACATTCGTGTACGACTCGCTCTTCACGCGCGCGTTTTCTGGGGCCTGCGTCTGATGCATCATCAAAACAGGAGAATGTATCTTGGGAAGACTCACTCTTGCGTTTCTCATTTCTCATCACAACAGTAGTATATGTATTTCCGTGATTTTTCGAGAGGTGGGATAGCAGGTTTGTCGCATGGTTGCCCTGTACAAACCATATCTGTTAATAGTTATCATTCAAAGATGTACGATGATTTGTCACGTATCTGACTTACCTTCACGTCTACTTTACAAATTAAGCATTTTGACGTTTTCGCGGTTCTGTCATAAACAAAATAGTCGTGGACAGCATTTGCTTTTGGTCGGCCCATTACGTTCTGTCGATTCAGATAATTTTGCTTAACTATCAACTACGCAACACAAAAAACCTTTAAGACAATAACAATGTAACTAATTGAAGTAAAATGAGATATATTTAATTAGGCCAATTTACGAAGATCAGACAAATAAATAAAATATTAAACTTTGTGGTTATTAACGCAATCGATCAGATTTAGTTGAAAAAAAACACGCCTACGATCAAATACAGCCACACAAGCTTCTCAGTTCGGTGACGCGTTGTAAAGTTTTGAGCGATAACGGGGAAACAGTGAGTGTTAACCCTGAAATTTGGCCGAGAATGGCAAGTATAGCCCACCATTGCACTAGATTAACTCGTACAACAATTCGTCGCGTACCCAGTCGGAGTCGCCAGTTTTTAATTTGTAAACACTATACACTTTTATAATACTAAACTAACACTTTTTTATCGCTGTAAACACAAATTTCACAAGGAAAAATTATCCCTCGAATCATGTGATTTTTTTTATTTTGTATAGAAATTGTTAAATTTGGTTTAAAAAGGCTACTTTAATATTTAAAAACTTATTTTATTTATTATTTTTAATTTATTTTACGCATTTTAATTTTCTAGAAACAAAATAATTGCTTGAATCAATCTCACATATTTTTATCAAACAACAAAACAACAGAATCAAACATAATTTTATATGAATGTCTGTAATTGGATTAATCCAAGGCAATAAATAAATATTATTATTATTTAATACGCTAGTACCGATATTATACCGATATTTGAACCGATATGCATCCATACCGGTATCATGCTTTACCGGTATTCTATCTTTTCGGTTTGCCATACCGGTACGAAAAAAAAAACCAAAAAAATACCAATATTATTTTGGTACTTTGTTATCGATATAGGTCCTTGCTCTGTATATTGGATAATATAGATATTTGAGGATAAATTAAAGGGAAATAAGATAGCCACCTGTCTGTGTTGTTGCTGCCACGTTGCTGAAAACAAAAGGCATTAGATTTCAGCAAATTTAGAACAAGGTGTGTGAGTCATTTGCCTCTGGTATGATATCACATAAATTCAGCATGTGTTGCTGTCAAGTTGCTATGTGTTTACTGTCAATAGTTTATCGCTGTACATAAAAAGCAAAATGACAGCAAGTTGCCGACAACACATGCCGAGTCATAAATTTTAGCAAAAATTCAACAGCGTGTCGAAAACGGTTAAATATATTTTTGCACCCTTACTCTTTTCAAACATATAAAATAATAAGTAAATAAATCCTTCTTTTTATTATCACCAAAAAGAAGAATTTACTTATTTATTATTTTACATATCTATTATATATATACCTCGCCGCAAATATCTATAGGTCGAAACCGAAGCTGTGTTAATTTGCCACAAATATCGTCGATGTATCGCCTATTTA